CAAAAGGGGGAGAATGCTTTGTGCAATTCCTGTTGTGCTAGTCAAGTCCATGCCTTATCAACATCAATCACAAGGAAAACCAGAGGGTACCTCTGCTCTGTGTTTGGCCTTGCCAAGCACCAAAGAAACGAACCAGAGAGGATTTATCCTCTAATGAAGGTAATACATCATCAACCTGAATGGATGATTCTAACATGCCTCCACCATCATAAGACTAAAAACGAAAGGCTCCATTGGCTTAGAATGTGCGTTCTTCACAAGTAGTTAATGTTCAAGAGATTCTTTTAGAATCTAAAGAAGACGACGACATTCCTCTCATCCAAAGGAAGTCAAGATTGGCTTTTGCATCAATCACTCCTCCCTTCCATCAATCGTTGCTCCAAAAGAGAAATGCATTCCTTCTACTGCTCCTACACAAATGGCTCCCTCCACTTTTATTCTGCCTCAAGTCTTGCAGGACAGAGTGAGAGAAGTCATTGAGCTGTGGTGCGAGATTTATATGAAGAAAAAATCTCTCAGACTATGTGCAAATGGAGACTCATACAAGTATACATGTATCAACCAATTGTCGTCTTTTACAAGTAATAAAAAGGGTAAAATACTGAATATTGATCCATAGGTAAAAATGTGTTAAAGGTTTTAGATAAAGTCCAGAAAAAGATTAGATTTCAGATTGCGAGTTCGAAGAATTGTTTTTGGTTTGGTAACTTTAAAACAAAATGATGCAAATAATTAATTTAAAGGAAAGCAATGGTGTAGGGATCAGTTAAGATTTTTAGACAAATAAATCAAATAGAACTTTGTAGATAATAACTTATCTTTAACCAACCATCAGCTTGTGTAAGGTACTATCTCAAGGTTGAGAAGGGCAATTATCCAAGGAAAGATTCTATTGTTTCTAAAATAAAATCAGTTATAGCAATGGCACAATCTATCCCTTGTATAAGTTGTACGGAATGGAAACAAGTCTCCTTGAGTCTAAGTAACTCTCTCGAGTATACTTCCGTATTATTCAAGTTGATGTGTTCGAGATGGCTTATATCTAAGTCCATCAAACTGTTAACATTTTTCTGCAAAAATCAACTTGTCAAGAGAGATGCAATATTTATCAATATAACCTTGAATAAATGGTTGAAAAGATTTGTTAATATTTAACAAATTTCTATCATAAAAGTCAATCTTTTATCTTAGCATTACCCTACACCCAAGCTAATGTTGTCAGCCTATCATCGCTCGGGATCCTTATATATCTATTTTAAAAACGAGAAAAGAAATTTGCATAGAAATATAGTTTTACGACACCTAAAATTAAAATAATCGTAAATTAAAAAACTACGAGGAATTAAAATAAAAACGAAAGTAAGTTACGAGAAATATAAAACAAACTACGACTATTAATAAACATGGTAACGATAATCTAAACGAAATTATGACAACTAATTAAAAGCTTATAAATAACTAGTTTACAATAAATAACGACATAAATTTAAGTTGTGGTAAATAAAAGATGATGAAAATATATGACAATAATATTGTGACGATAATATAAAAGACGAGATAAGATAAAATAAATAACGGTAAAATATAAATAGCTGAAACAAAAATTAGTTTAGCAAAGAGAGAAAGGGTGCTTACTGGAAGCCACCCTTCAAAACAATATGGTGTTTTGCATCTTTTCTATCACAAATGCATCCTTTATTTATATACAAAGAAAGAGAAGTTGTTGGTCTCGTCAGGGTATACAAGAGTTTTATAGAACAGTTTGTAGAAAGGGGAGGGGGTGAATACAAACACAAAGAACTTTTAAATTTAAAAATATATAATGATAAAGAAAGATCAATACAGACTTTTACAAGATTGTATGCAGAAATAGATAAGGTAAAGAAAAACCTATCTAAAACAATCTAAGTTTACACACAGATATTCTTAGAAAAGAGAAAAGATTTGTTGAAATATAAAGAAGGAAATAAGTTCTTTCTGGGTAAGAACTTTTAGAATACTTAACAGGGATTCTAACTTGCTTGAAGATAAGCGTGAGTATTCTTAGACGTGTGTGTTTTTTCATGTATGCACATAAGGATTAGTAGTGTCTCGACATGGAGAGAGCACACATCTATTTATATCCATTGCATTAAAGGCACATTTAATGCAATGCAGTAGGGTTTAAACACGCGTCAAGTTTTTAGAGAAAAGCTTGTCCTTTACTACAGTGAATAGTACAAAAGCCTATTCATGAGCAAACATCCTTTCGTGGAGTTTGTGGGTAATAGAGTCAACTAGTCGGCTCCGTATCGTACTACACTCTAGAAAGGGTATGGGTTTATCCTTTGTGTGTGCAAGAACAAGACAAAAGCAACTTGCACAACAAGCTTCATTTGATCGCTGAATAATGGAATAACGCTGAAGCTCTCTTCAGCATTCGTTGACGCTTGGGAAGTCTTCACACATATGTTGACCAGGTTGTAATCATTGAATGCTGCTTCAGATCACAAATTCACCAGTCACTAATCTTCAGTTTCAGTCTTCGACTTTAGCTAAAGGTTCTTTGGTGTGAGTTTTGTCTTCTTGAAGTATCGCTGTCGCTGTAGGATTTACAATACATGTTTTAGCGATCACTGAACAAACTCAGTGACGATCGCTGTAACTGAAAGACAGAAACATAATGCTTAGAAATAGGTAAAAAGGGATTATCATCAAATCAATGAGAGAGAGGATCAACAATCTCCCCCTATTTGATGATAACAAAACAACATAAAGAAAGTTGCCTTATCAAATAACAGTAAGGAAAAGTTATATATAAAGTACATGTCCCTTTTAACTGTTTTGGAATCTTTTTCAATGAGTTAGTTTTTACTTAATAAATTTTCTTAAGTTACAAGTTTAAGAAAAACTACAAGAAGGGAAACTGAAACTGAAAGCATGTTAACTGACTTATAGATTGTCAGTTACTGTAAGAGAACATTGGAACTCATAGGCATGTGTCCCTATTACTCTTTTCAGGGATCTTTTTCAATGATGCAAATGAAATACTTATATTAATTCAAAGAAAAAATTACAAGTTTTTCGATACATTTCTTAGACTTATAACATATAAGTTGAACACTAAATATAGACATAGAATACAAAAGACATACTGTGAATGGACAAATTACGAAATAGAAATAACTAATCTAAGTTGCTCAGGTTGATGTAGCCATGTACTTCTTCTCTGTGCTCCTTTCGATGTAGGAATTCCTTTCTGATCTTGCGGTCCATCACTTCACCATATATGTCATCATCTAGCCAGATTCTGATGTACACGAGATGTTCCATCGGGCATAGATGTAACTCAGACATTCTTTGAAAGCTGACTTTGCGTTCATAGTCAAGGAAGATAAATCCTAGCTCAGGCTTCATGTGCACAGTGTTAGGTATGTAAGGACCCTTTGCTGGCAATGACAGGTTTAACATAGAAATGTCTGGCTTCTTCGAAGCCTTCAAGACTTCATTCAAGGAGAACTTTGTTTCATGTTCGTTCCTCAGGGTTGGTCCGTCATAAGGACTTGAAGGTCTTCTTCGTCTTCCACCTTTTTTCAGAGTAGGCTTTTCAGGGACAGTAACATACCTGGACATCTTCTTGATCAGATCATAGATGATGTATTCGATGATCGGCTTATGTCTTGATTTTGAGCACTGAATGGCTTGGCAGACTCCAGCCATTCACTGTAGCCATACTCTCTAAGGTAGGAAGGGTACTCCGTGACAGCGTCAAGGTTATCCCTGGGGATGAGCATCGAGACCAGAACTCCATCGTCTTTGGTCCATCCACTGATGGTGACGTTTGAAATTGGGTGAGGACTGATCCTCTTGTGTAAATGTTTTTTGCTTCATTTACTTTCATGCTCGGCCAGCTTCAGGGTTTTCTCGCGTTCAACTTCTACAATAGAAATAAGCTTAGCCTGGGCCTGGACAGCATGCACCATCTTTTTGGATTTCTTTCTTGGAAGAACTTTGGCAGCAAGAGACTTGGCCAACTTTAAGCTATCCTCAGTCTGTTGTCTTTGAATTCTGAGTTCTTCCTTGGCCTTGAATGCCTCGAGTCTTTCAGCTTTTGACAAGAAGTAGAACTCACCACAACTAGAGGTACGAAGAGGGATTTTTACTTTAGTTTGGTTGAGCGACTCCTTTAGATGAGACATCTGCTGGTCGGTGGGAGTGTTGGGGGATGGGTTTTCAAGGACCCATTCCTCCAGCCGACCGCAGGTAGTGAAAGGGATGGAAAGTTGATACATAGAAGTTATCGTGGTAAATCTTGAGGACTCTTTGATAAGGATTCTAGAGGTTGGAACAGTACCTTTAGGTTGCCTTATTCAACAACACCCTTATCTTTCGACTTGGTGTTCTGGTTCTTTTCTTGAGTCTCTTCTTTCTCCTCTTGCTCCCCCTGTGATGCAAAATCCATGAGCGCGATGCCTTTCGTGGCACCGACAGGTCTATGGTACTGAATGGTGAAGTCGTCATCATCGTCGTCTTTATCATCATCATCAGATCTTCACCAGTGTCAGGAAGGTCCGGAGATTCACCATCTTCTTCATCATCATCTTCATTATTATCTTCCATATCACAGCTTTAGCAGCAGAGGTGATTGAAAGATCATCGTCACGAGCATCAGCACCAGCTCGGATGGCATCAACATCCTCAGCTACAGGAGCTTCACAAGAAGTTGCGTTTTCATCAATGACATCAACTTCAGCTTTAGAAACTTCAACTTCAGCTTTAGAAGCTTCAACTTCAGCTTTAGAAGCTTCAGCTTCAGCGTCAGTCTCTGGAACAGTAGCAGGTTCAGTGGCAGCAGCAATTGAAGGAGCAGCTCCAGACTCTGTCTCCCCCTATTTGGCAATGGCTTTAGAGAAATAGCCAAAGAAATGGTCGACAGTGCGAATGACAGATACACCAATGTTGAGAGTCACCCTCAAGCCTTGATCTTGACCTCCAGTCTTTCCACCCATGCACTGGATGTAATGGGAGAAGAGGTATTGCTACACAGCTGGCATGCGGTTCTTCTCTATCTTCAACAACGACTTGAGGGGTTCGCTAGAGTCTTTCTTCATAGGCCAGGCATAGCCAATGTCATCGAGGCAAGCGATGATGATTTCAGTGGAAGGATCGCTGATGAAGGGACCCTTGGGAAATCGCAGAGCATGCCTTAGCGTCGTCACACCAAAGCTGACGGTCATGCGGTTGAAGGTGAAGGAGATTTTCACCACCTGTCAACCGTGTTTGCCAATGTCCTGCACCACTTCAGCGGTCATCCAGAATTGCTGAAGAGCCTTTTTCACCATGACAGGTTCATGGGTGAGAGTGTAGGCAATTGGTGACATCTTGAGGAAGGATGTAGCATCCTCGTAGATAGACTTGTTTGAAGGAATGTTCAACAAGGCAACGTGGTTGTTGGCCTTGAAGGTCACGTGTTCAACAGAAAAGTTCACGTTCTTGGCAACCATTGTCTGTTTTGGTTATGAAGTAAGAAATAACAGGTTTTGTTAGTAGTCCAAGATTAGGATGTAATCATTTTAAGTTTTAGAACAACAAAATTTCTTTTGAAAAATCCACAAAGAAGATATTAGAGTTTTTCAAGAAGAATAAGTGTTTTTGAAACTTTAGATTATAACCAAGAAAAAGAATGTGTTAATAATCTTAATGTTTGTATTTTAAGAGAACAAGTTCTTAAAGGAACAAACAACAGTTTAATTAGAAGAAGAAGAAGAACAGTTCAAAAAGTTAAAGAAGAAATATCAACCTTAGTGATTTAGAAGAAAACGTCGAAGGTGTTTTTGAGCGTTCTTAGGAAGTTCTTGCTTGCAAGTTCTTTTTGGTAGAGGTTCGTCAAAAGATTTTGAAAGCGTAAAGAAAATATGAGAGGAGAGGTCTCATATTTATAGGTAGGAGTAGAGAGAAAAAGAAATAGGAGAGAGGAAAATACGACTGTTGAGGAAACGCCATGATGAAAAAATGGCACGTTCTCATCCATGATTGGATGGAAGTTGGAGGAGGTCGCGTGTGTCAGACTTTTACGCGCGTCTCAAAGCAACTCATATTGGTAACAGACAATGTCATCAAAAAGATGGTTCATAATCTATTTCTTTTAAAACGAAAAGGTTTAAGAAATTCAAAGAGTCACATTCAGTGAAAAGAGAATTACTGAATAGACAACCATTTAAAACATTTGATCACTAAAGAAGAAAAGCTTCAGTGATGGTTTTGTTTTAAAAAAAGAAAATATCTTAGAAGAATATATTTCCATACAAGAGTCAGTGATAAGAGAAACACTAAAACTATCTTTTAAAAACTTTTGAATCACTGAAAGAAGAAAGGTTCAGTGATCATTTTGATTTTAAGAAAAGATAAGTATAAAAAAGATATACTTACTAAAAATGTTCAGTCATAGAAAGAATCACTGAAACAAGGCGGATACTGCTCCTATCAAGGCGAAAAGCGGCCTAACTTGCAGCCTACCAGTTTCTAGGAAACGACCAAGGGATTCTTCTGAGATCAATACCTTGCTTTCCTTTGTTAACAGTCATAACATGAACCAGARTCAAATGGAGCGTTKTGGAAACTATACGTTTCTCGGAGAAGACATMTCTTTGCAGATCCAACAACAACAATTAGAGATTGATCAATTCATCGCTCATCATGTAATAATCTTATCCTCTTGTTTGATTTCGTGCACTTTCTCATTTTGTCGGTGAAATTGGTTCCTAAATTTTATTGAACGATCGATAACAAACGGAGAAAGTGAGACTCGACGTCGAAGAGAGACGAAAGAGGAATTCAAGGAGAATAATCGCAGCGGTTGAGGAAGGAATCTCGAAGAGATTGAGAGCTAAAGAAGAAGAAATCGTGAAGATCGCCAAATTAAATTGGGCATTGGAAGAGAAAGTCAAGTCTCTGTGTGTAGAGAATCAAATCTGGCGAGAATTAGCTCAAACAAACGAAGCAACAGCCAACGCATTACGCAACAACTTGAAGCAAGTTCTAGAACAGGTCGTCCATGACGATTACCGCCACCGTACCACGACGACATGTGTCAACGACGCGGGGGCGTTGGCCGAAGATGCACAATCATGTTGTGAAAGCAACAATGAAGAAAATCGTCCACCAATCGATCTGGATAACATCAACGATGATTGTAGCAGCAATAACAACATCATCAACAACAACAACAAATTGTGCAAATAGTTGAAAGAAATTAATCTTTAGCGTTTAGCATTCCAAGTTCGCTAATCAAGATGTTAAATCTTGTTTTAGACCCCATAATTCATAAGTGTAAAAGTAATGAAGAACAATAAGTGATGAAGAACCAAAAGACCGATGAAGACGTTAAGACAAAATTGACCAAGTCTGAGAACAACCAGAGGGTCGATGAATCGACCAGAGATGCGATGGAAAGAGCATCTTCATCACCCCTCTGGTCAACAACACTTAGAGTTTTCTTCAGCAGTTCAACCAGAGGCAGACGATGAAGATATGAAGATAAGGTTGAATCATCATCCCATGGAATACAGCTGGAGATAACTAATCGACAGCTGGATTTCAAGTTTATCTCGATTTATAGCTTATCCATACTTTAGATAAACATTATCTTTCCTAGAAGATTGGCTAAATAGTTTTACTAGATAGTTATCTTCTTATCACTAGTATAAATAGGTGATTAAGCCTATTGTAATCGAAGTCGCTTTTACGTTTTCATATTGAATAAAGTGAAATTATTGGCACTCAAGATTGTTCTTTGAATGTTCATACACTGTTCTTGAGTGTTTATCATTTTGTTCATTAAATATTCTTAACCTGATTATTAGTGTTATTGAGAGATCTGGGATCAACAATTGGTATCAGAGCCAATTGATTGTTTTTCCAATCAAACGATCATATAAAATCTCTCAATTCACGTTTTTTACGAAATATCTTCACCAAAAACGTAAATTTTCTCTCTTCAAAAATTCTTGATGGCCAACTGGAATTCCGCATATAGTGTTGGTTCCCTCACCAAGCCTCCAACTGTTCAACGAGAAGAGTATCCACAATGGAAAATAAGGATGGTAAGCTTCTTGAAAGGTATGGACAGAGACCTCCTGCGATCTGTAATGGAGGGTCCTTACGTTCCACAGACTCTTGTCCCAAGAGTCCCAGGAACAAATACCACAGCAGAAATTCCTGCATATTACATGCCCAAGGATGAGAAAAACTGGGATGAAGACGATATTGAGCGTGTGGAAACTGACAAGAAGGCCAAGCGACTAATCATCATGGCCATTCCCAATG